GTCGAGCGGGAACATGGAGGGGAGCCCATGCAGCTGCTCGCCCACTTTTATCAGCACGGTCAGGGAGAGTTCGTGCAGCGCAATCTTGACCGAGGCGTTCCCGTTCACGGCGGCGGGCTTTCCTTCTTCGGCTGGCAGATGGAGCGTTTCGGGAGGCAGAGCGATCTTCACTGGAAGATGACATGGCTGACGAGCGAGCTGCTGTTCTGCTTCAGGAAGTTGATGGTGAGAGCAACGGCGTCCAGGGCCTTCGCGGGACCACCACGTGGAGGAAACCGTGGCTGGGGAACGAGCACGTCGACGTCCAGCGGGTTATGGATGTGGGCGACGGCGACGTCGGGCGGGCCGAAGTCCAGCTTGTGCGCGGCGACGGGAGTGGGAAGGCACGACCGCGCGATATGCGAGGCAGCCTGCAGTGCCAGCACGATGAGTAGGGATGGGCGGCCGCAAGCCCTGAGTGTGGGGGCAGAAAACTTGGGTGCCAGCTCACCCCTGGAGGTGGCTGGAAACAGTTGGGATCTGGCCTCGGATCAGAGGTCTCCATGCGGCCGCAACGCGACATGGTGACTTGAGCCAAAATGGCTACGGAAGGAGGGGGAGCAGGAGGAGGAGGAGGAGGAGGAGGAGGAGGAGGAGGAGGAGGACGCAGGCCACACGTTTGGGGACATCCCGCCGTTCCCGCCGATGGGCGAGGCCGCCAGCCCCAGCACGGACGGCGTGCTGAAGAGCGCCGCTGAGATGGAGCTGACCATGCTCCTCCTCCTCCTCCTCCTCCTCCTCCTCCTCCTCCTCCTCCCCCTCCCTTCTCTCTTCCTCCTCCCCCCACCTCCTCCTCCCCCTCCTCCTCCTCCTCTCCTCCTCCTCCTCCTCCTCCTCCTCCTCCTCCTCCCCTCCTCCTCCTTCCCCCTCCTCCTTCTCCTCCTCCTCCTCCTCCTCCTCCTCCTCCTCCTCCTCCTCCTCCTCCTCCTCCTCCTCCTCCTCTCGCAGGAGGAATTCGATGCCGTGGCCTTCGCCTGCATCGAGCTGGTCGGCAAAGACACCGCCGAGGCGAAGAGGCGCCTCAAGGCCCTCTGCGAGCACCCGAGCGTGGAGGCTGGAGGGGCCGCGGTCCGGCCGGAAGGAAACTCGAAGAGGCCTCCACGTCGTGGCCCTTCGTTCTCGCCTCGGGCCTTTGGGCCGTTTCTGGTTTTCCTTGGGTTTCTGGCTGCTCGTCGCCTGGCCGGATTCCCGTCGAGATTCGCTGGACATTGGCTCGGCACCCGACGTCGCGGCGTAGGCCCGCGGCGCCCCGGCCGGCGCGCCAGGGCCTCTGGAGACAGGCCGCAGCATCTGACCCCTCTGACCCCTCATCCTCCTGCTCCCCTCCTCATCACCCTATGTCCTTATACAGTCGGGGTGTTGACCTAAGGAACCCTAAATAAGGAACGAGGCCCCTTTTTTCCATAAGTTAACCTTCGATTTCAGATCGAAAACATAAGGAAAACCTGAGGCATGTTGTGAAACACTTAAGGAACGCGGAGCCCCTCCCCAACCAAAAGGGTTCCTTCTTCAGGGCCCCGACTGTATGTCCTTATAACGAACTCCTCCGTGTCGCACACCCAGGAAGAGTCGGCCAGGTGGGCGGGGAGCGTCACCCGAGACGCCTCCACCACTCATGATTAGGGGGCGTGATCTGTTCAACACGTTCACGGATGGAGGGCGGGCAGCTTTCAACATGTGGCTCTCGCCTTGGCACCACGCACAGTCGTCTTAAACAGTTGCAGCAGCTTCACGGGTGGAAGGCGGGTGGTCTTCAATGTGTGGCTCTCGCCTAAGAGCCGTGTGCATTCGTCTTACAAGTGTCCAGTCGTTGCTAGGATGGAGGGCAGTTCTGCGGCCTCTCGCCTTAGCGCCGCGCACATTCGACCTACACGTTTGCAGCAAGTTCGGACATGGAGGGCGGTTCCTTTTCAAAGTGTGGCTCTCGCTTTGGTGCCGCGCACATTTGTCTTAAACTTCTGCGACAAGTTCAACGATCCGTATGTTTGCAGTCCCTGGACTGGTGTTCTCGCACCGCTTAGGCGCAGCAGCCACGTTGATTCGATGTGCTTGTCCCAAGAATGTGGTTCCGGCGCGAAAGTTGTCAGAACGCAAAAGTCACGTTGATCCGCGGCGTTGACGTCCCGGGAATGGTGTCTTGGCGCGGTTGAGGATTCTCAGATGGCTGCGTTTTACTGGGCCACTTCCCGCATCGCAAATCGATTATTGCACGACCCTGTGAGGAGGGAACATGGAGGGAGTGTTTATTGCAACACCGTTAGTCATCCTGGGTTTACACGGGTCCTCCTCCTCCTCCTCCTCCTCTTTCTCCTCCCTCTCCTCCTCCTGTTCCTCCTCCTCCCGCTCCCGCTCCCGCACCCGCTCCCGCCGTCCTCTCCTGGTGTTCCACCAAACCGCTGGGCTGAGGTGGCTTCGGGCTTTTTTCCTCTTTCGTCCTCCCCTTTCTTCCGCCCCGGGGAGGGGGCTTATCACTGTCCCCTATTGATGTGCATTCCATCCGCCACCTGACCAAGGCTGGGCTGAGGTGGCTTAGGGCGTTCCCTCTTTCCTCCTCCCCCTTCTTCCGCCCCGGGGAGGGGCTTGTCGCTGTCCCTTGTTGGTGTGCACCATCCCCCCCCACCCGACCAGGGGGCAAACTGGGAACCACGACAACAACAGCCCGCCACCGCTCCTGTCGAAAAGAAGACAGAGGCGAGCGGTTGGGCTGCATATTGCCTGCTGCGCGCAGGCCCACAAGCAATACGAAACAGACTCTGCGGCAGCATGATCGCACCACGACCCCGGGAAAAGGATTCAGAACTGCGAGGCCCGAGAACCCACGTGCTTTCACGCTCGCCCCATTCTGGGGCGTCGAAAGCCCACGTGTTTTCACGTGTCCAGGCCACCGGGGGGGGATACTGAACACGCGGTCGTCTGGGCTAACCAGAGCGAAGGGGGGGAACACTAACAAGAACAAATCAATGAACCGACACCAGAGGTGTGATAAGTCCTGGGTGCTTCTGGGACGCCTCGGGGGGCCTCCAGAAGCGGTTGAGAACCCACGTGGTTTCAAGTTTTTCCCGCTCTGAGGCAATGGAAACTCATGTGTGTTTCCACGCTTGTTCCGCCCATGTATGTTTCCATGCTTGTCCTGCCCTGTGGCGTTAGGAACCATGTGTTTTCACACTTACCCCACTCTGGGGCGTTAGGAACCAATTTGTTTTCACGTCTGTCCTGCCCTGGGGCGTTAATAATCCATATGTTTTCACGTTTCTCCCGCCCTGGTGCGTCAAGAACCCATATGGTTTCGCGTTTGTCCCGCGTTGGGACGTTAGGAACCCTATATGTTTTCACGTTTGTTCCGCCCTGAGGCGCTAGGAACCAATGTGTTTTCACGCTTTGTCCCGTTCTGTGGCGTCAGGAACCCCTATATGTTTTCACGCTCGTCCCGCTCTGGGGCGTTGGGAACGCATGTCTGTTCACGCTTGTCCTGCTTTGGGGCATTCGGAACCATATGTTTTCACGATTGTCCCGCTCTGGCGCGTTAGGAACCCAAGTGTTTTCACGCTTGCCCCACTCTGGTGCGTCAGGAACCCATGTTGTTTCACGCTTGTCCCGCCCTGGGGCGTTGAGGACCCAACTGTTTTCACGCTTGTCCCGCCCTGGGACGTTCACGATTTTCTTGCGCCTGTGTGCTCTGAGGCGTTAGAAGCCCGCGTGATTTCAAGCCTGTCCTGCTCTGGAGCATTAGGAGCCCACGATTTTTCACGCCTGTCCCGCCCTGAGGCGGCAAGAACCCGTGTGTTTCCACGCTGGCCCTGGCCTGCAGCATTGGGAGCCCACGTGCGTTTTCCCGCGCTTCCGCGTTTCCCAAGGCCACCATGCCCCGGGACGCGGAACCCTTTCAAGTTTTGCGAAACAAGCGCTTCGCTCGAGACGTCATCTAATTCCTCGCGCGGGGCGCGCCATCCTCGAGCAGGCCAGCAAGCAGTCAGCATTCTTTGAATGTTCTGAACAAGGGCCTCCAGGCATTGCTATTCATCCAAGTTTTTGTGCAAAACGCTTTGCCCTTTCTTTTTCACACAGGAAATGGGGGTCTGCGAACCCCGTTATTTATCGAATCTCCGAGATGGGGGGCACACTTTCCTGGGGCGGGCGCACGCGAAACGGACTTAAAACAAAAACGAAATGGGACTGTACTCCGTTTTTGCGATACTATGCCGGCCCTCTTCGAACTTGGCAACAGGGAAAGTTTGCAAACTGAACAAGAACCCTGGGCCGACGCCCTGTCTGGGACAAACGCTCTCATTCCCCCTCCCCCTTCCGCCCCTTTTTCCAGCAGCGCTGGGCCGAAGCGGCGCAAAGCCTGGGGGTCCCAAGGACCGTGCAGTGACAGACCCGGCGGCAACCTCGAATTCCGCAAAGACCTCACCGCAGGGCCCGTCACCACACGGCTCCGGGACCTCGGAGGCCCCAGCCGCCCGAGGCATCCTGGAAGCACGACCCGAGGCCCAAGACCGTGCGGGAACCCTGAAGCCCCACCGCGGGGGCCCCCGAGGGGCGGGAGGGTCGCCCAGGGGGGGAGGGCCAGAGGTGCGCGGTGCCGCGTGGGGTGGCCACGCGCAGGAGTGACCCACAGGCCAGGGTGACCTTTCAGAAGCCTCCTCATCCTTTTCCTCCTCGAGTCCTCGAGTCCTCGAGTCCTCGAATCCTCCTTCTCCTCCCCCTTCTCCTCCTCCTCCTCCTCCTCCTCCTCCTCCTCCTCCTCCTCCTCCTCCTCCTCCTCCTCCTCCTCCTCCTCCTCCTCCTCCTCCCTCTCCCTCTCCCTCTCCCTCTACTCCTCCTCCTCCTCCTCCTCCTCCTCTCCTCCCCTCCTCTTCCTCCTCCTCCTGCTCCTCCTCCTCCTCTTGTTGTTTCTTCTTATTTTTCTTCCTCCTCCTCCTCCTCCTCCTCCTCCTCCTCCTCTTCCCTCTCCTCCTGGCCTCCTGCGTCACGCCCGGCGGCAGCGAGGTCTCGCCGATGGGCGGGAGGCCCTCGGGCCCGGGAGCCATGGTCTGAGGGGGGCTGCGCCAGGGGTGGCCGAGCCTACGCGAGGGAGCGCATCGGCCCCCAGTCTCCAACTCCTCGCCGATAGGGGGCCCGGCAGCCCTTCTGTTCCTCCTCCTCCTCCTCCTCCTCCTCCTCCTCCCCCTCCTCCTCCAGCTGCTACTCCTTCTCCTCCTCCTCCTCCTCCTCCTCCTCCTCCTCCTCCTCCTCCTCCTGCTGTTTCGGCACGATCTAGGATCCCCCAATACTGGTAGAAACGGAAGGTGTCCGAATCCTATCGGTTAAAATTTTAGCCAACGTCGACCCCAAACGGTGATTTACTGCAACCTATGCGGTGCAGTCAAGGCGGTGCAACCAATGTGGTGCACCCTAGGTGATGCAATCCATGTGGTTCGAAATATGAGGTACAAACAATACAAAACAATGCCTCCTCCTCCTCCTCCTCCTCCTCCTCCTCCTCCTCCTCCTCCCCCTCCTCGCTCGTTTTCCTCCCCCCGACCCCGGCCCGCCCTGGCGCTGCCCCCGATGGCCCCGCGCCCCGGGGGGCCTGCGCGGCGCGCCCCCGTCGGCTGGGCTCGGACAGGGCGCCGGGGCGTGCCCGCGCAGAGGCGGGGTCGGGGAGGGGGCGGCGAGGGGAGGGGAGAAGGAGGAGGCGGAGGAGGAGGAGGAGGAGGAGTGCAAGTACTCCACGAGGAAGAGACGAGGGCAAGCGGACACGAAGCGAGACGAGGGCAAGTTGACCGTCCGCTCCATGCCGACCACCCGCGACTACTTCCAAAGCAGAGCTCTGGCGGCGCTCAACCCTTCAGCAATTGAGGCTGGGGTCGGCGCGGCATGCTTCATTTCGTTATAAAAGTGGAAGGCGAGCACAATCCGCTGGATCGTCCGCGTCAACGAGAGTTCGTTCGCGGGTCCAGACGGATATGCTGCAGCGGGGCCCAGGCCCCAGTGTGTAAGCGTGCTGCGGAGGGGGAGCGAGTCAGGGGACCAGAGGAGGCTCAGGAGGACCGAGCAGGAGAGGTAGTGGGGGAATGAATCGGGTGCCTCAGGGCACCCAAATACACACGTCTTCTGCTGGAGAACGTGCATGCGATGGGTCGTGGTCCAGCCGCCTGCGAGTGTCTTGCACACAGCCCAGCGCCAGCTCGGACGGACAGTGCGCATTGCATTCGTGAGGGCCGCCCAGCGAGTCTCGAGCTCTGGGGGCGGAGGCAGCTGGGGAACGCCCCAGGCTGCGATACGCTTCGCGAGCGTGACTGTGAAAGGAGACGAGAAGGAGGCCCGCAGCAGTGTGAGCGCAACCGCACGCTGTACCTTGGGGCGGGGCGGTGGCTCAGCATCCGGGGCCTCTCGAATTTCGCGGGCAGCTGCGCGGATCGCCTCTGCGACGGCTGCTGCTGGGAAAGGGGCGGCACCCTTGCCGCGCGCAAGCGCGTAGTAAAATTGAACGATGGCCGTGGGTTCTTCCCAGAACTGTGGGGGCCACTGACCTTGAAGCCATCGCTGGAAGCTGTGAACTGTGCTCTCTTCCCACGCAGTGTCCTGCAGGCGGGCGCGGAAGGCTTCCCATTGCCCTCGGAGCGTGAAAGTGGCAGAACGAATGGCGGCGGCATTTGCAGAAATCTGAGCGGAGCGGGGGACAGGAGGCGGGCGCCACTCCGCCATTGCAATGAGGTCTACTGTGCGAAAAGAGTTTGGGGGCAGGCTGAGCATCTCATGGAAAATCTAATGTTCCCGACGGGCGATCTTCGGATCGAGCGGGAAAAACTGCGAGACATAGCTGAGCGTTGAAACAGCCGATGCGTTATGGAGGCGAACGGTGGCGTCGCTGCCACCCTGCGCAAGCTGAAGAATATTCCCGCGCTGCCACCATTTCTGCCCAGGAGCGAGCCATTGGTGAGCGAGGGTGGCCGCAGGCCCGAGGAAGGCCCCAAGGTACTTGGCTCGCCCCGACGCCGAAAAGCCGCCCCAGGGAGGGCAGAGCTCGGCCAGGAGCGCTTTCGTTTGGGCTATGGTGGCAGGCGACGATTTCTCCCAAGGCGGGACGATGACACACTTGCGAGGCTTCAGAGAGAGGAGCGCAAGCTCCTCAGCTGCGGCAAAGGGCTCAGAGGCGGCTCGCAGCGTGCCGAACGAGAACGTGAGGAGGCCAGTGTCGTCCGCGCAGACGCCCAGGCAGCCCTTGTCGTAGTCGGGCTTGCCGTCGTCGGACTCGACGAACGAGGCGAAGTGGCGAACGAGAGGGTCCATGGCGATCGCCCACGCCGAGCCGCTCGCAGGACAGCCCTGGGCCACGCCAGACTCGATCGGGAACATGAAGTGGCGAACGCCATCAACCTTGAGGTAGCTGTTGGGAGCGTGGTACAGCTGGCGGAAGAGGCCCATGAGGCCCTCGGGGATGCCGAAGCTCTCCAGCGATGCGAATAGCCATGCGCGTCCGAGCGACGGGAACGCCGCCGCGAAGTCGGAGCTGGTGACGACGGGCTTGTGTTTGTCGGCGTCGGGCCGTACTCCAGCGTGGCGCATCTCGGCGTCGAGGTTGACGATGTGCTTGGTGAAGTTGCGGCCCGCGACAAAGCCCTGCTGCGAGTAGTGAGTCCGCTCTGCCACAGCGGATTTGATGAGGAAGTTGGCCGCACCTGCGATGGCCTTGATGTCTGTGCTCTTGAGGGACAGCGGACGTGTATCCTCAGGCAGGCGGTCCGTGGTGAGCTCGCCCGCGAGGTTGTCGCCCTTCGCCAGGAACGCGAAGTCAGAGTCGTTCAGGTCGTGGATGAAGTCGGGGTTGGAGCAGAGGTGCCAGGCAAGGTCTTCCAGCAGGTCCAGAGACGCGCCCACGGCAAGCCAGGCGCGGCACGGCGAGAGGTCGGGCCCAGGAGCAGACGGGGTGGTGCGCAGCAGAAAGCATCTGATGCGCGCCTTGGTGGGTGCGCCGACGTCGATGATGGGATGGATGGGCGCGTGCTGGACAATGTACTGCTGGACCTTGGAGACGCCGACGTGCTTGCGCTCAAAGACGGGTCGCCAGTGGGCGCGGAGGGCGTCCGCCATCGCACTGCCTTCTCTGGCTAACCCTGGGTGGCCCTCGGGATCGGTGGTCTTGATTCCCTGGAGGGCCATGCGGCGCTTCCAGGGGGCCCACAGCAGGGCCCTGCGCTGGGAGGAACGAATGATTTTTCTGAGCTTCTTGGGGTCGATGGCTCCTGGGGAGCCTCGTGGCAGCTCGGCTGCGCGCTGAGCCAGAGATCGCTGCCTGGCCTCGAAGTCGCGGTGCAGCGCGGCGGACTTCATAGCGAACCCGGCAGCGTCGGAGAGCGCGATGTTGCCGCCGTCGATGTTGAGGGACTTGGTACCAAGCTCGGTGGTGGACTGCAGTCGGCGAGCAAGACGAATGTCTTGGCGCCAGACTGCGCGCGAGATCGAGCGCGCCGTGATCACCTGGCCGTCGGAGTGGTTAGACTTGCCGATCTCACCGGCAGCGCGGCTGACCCAGTCATCACGAACCATCCTCGCAGCCTCGACCATGAGAGTCTTGTGTGAGCGCCAGCGGTTCTCGATCGTCATGCGGCGCGTGACAGCGCGATCAAGCAGCTGCTGGAGGTACTTGGCGTACGAGGAGTCGCGGAAGATCGCGGGGGAGATCGCCTGCTCCTCGATCGGGGTCTTCGGCTTGATGCCGATGGAGTACGAGACGATGGCATGGTCGCTGAGGAGGTTGTCCCATAGGATGGCAGCGTCATGTGCGATGGTGAGGCAGGACGTGGGCTCGAGCATCGCGTGCGACGGCAGGCTGATGAAGATCCTGTCGATGGCCGACGCGGAGTAGTCGGCCTTGTTGAAGCGCGTCGGGAGGTCCGGTTCGATCTCGAGCATGCTGTCGAAGAGGGCCTTCCAAAAGGGCTGCTGCTGGCGCGCGCTATTGTCCAGAGCCCATCGTGCATTCTGTGGTTGAGGTTGGAAGAAGCTGTTGGGTGGGCGACTGGCCGTGTTGAAGCCGCCCAGAGCGAGGAAGGTGCGGTGCTGGTAGTTGGCCTCCGCCCACGTGCGGTGCGCGTGCCATGAGCGCTGGATGCGCTCGCGGCCCCGAGCGTCAATCTCGTGGTTGTGGACGTTCATGATGACCATGATGTTGCGCGAGGAAGCGTTGGTGATGGCGACCGCCTGGACGCGCCCTTTGACGATCTCCCCATGGCTGAAGATTGGGAACTGCTCGGGCTGCATGAGTTCGAGCTGCGCGTGCGAGAGCCACGGGAAAAGCAGAGCCACACCACCCGTGCCTGCGTGGGCTTCGTCATCGTCTGCCGAAGCGAACTGAGAAAAGAAGAGCTTGTACGGGCACGGCTGCGTGTCCACCCACGTGCGGAGAAGCGCTTCTGAGCCATGAACCTCCTGGAGGGCGATGACAGCGCCCTTCCTCATGTACTGCTGCAGTGCCGCTTGTTTGCGGTGACGCCTGGAGCGCTTGTGGCACATGAGAGCTCTGGCGTTCCACGTGATGAACATACTGGGTCTATCGTCCTCAACGGGCCTCCACGGGGCCCAGGGGCGGTTAAACCCGCCACGTTGCCTCCGCGGTGTCCGCGAAGAGCGCCCGGAACGAGGTGGGGGTGGCGCCGCGGTCGATGTCGCGGAAGGCGGGGAGCTCGAACGCCTTCTCGTTCCACTCGAGGATGGCGGGGTCGGCCTGTCCCTTAACGTCCAGGCGCGCGACGGGCATGGCGTTGCAGTGGATCTCGCCTTTGGCGCGGTATGCTCTCCAGGATTTTTTGAGGATGGCGGTGTTGAAGGAGCGGAAGAAGTTTCTTACACTGGATCTCGGTGCGGATCTGCTTCGGCGACTTGTCGGGGTTGAGGTAGATGTCTGTCGGGATGCCCGAGGTGTCGACTGTGGCGAAGCGCTTCCATTTGCCCCCAGCGTCGCGTAGGGCACGGGCGAGCGCCAGGGCGCGCGGAATAGCAACGTCACGACCGCCTTTGACTTGAAGCACAAATCGACGCGCTGGTTCGTCTCCGTGAAGTTCGACGGCATCAGAGCCCAGGTTGGCCGAGGCGATCCACTCCTGCAAGTCGTTGAGGAGCGCGTCGGGGGCGATGAGCCGCTGCGCCCCGACAGTGAAGATCGCGGGGTCGATCTCGCGGTGCCAGTCGGCGAGCCTGGAAAGGTCCGTGATCGGCACTTGGGCCCCGGCGAGAGCGAGGGTCTCACGCATCTGATCAATATGCATCCACATCTTTTTCTGTTCTTCAGCTTGGCGGTCTTGTTCTCTACGTGTGCGTGCAACGACATCATGAAGGGTGTCAACTCGGCGTTCAGTGGCCTGGACTTGCTGCGCGAGAAGCTGGCGGAAGCTTTCACGCGACTCGTTGAGCAAGTGGCTGGTTTGAGCTTGGAAAGTGCTGGCAGCATGAGCAACTTGAGCTTGCATGAGATCTTGGAGAGCTTTGTCGAGGTCAGGGTCCAGTCCTGGAAGACGAGCAGGTTCGCCAGGGGTGGCGGTCTCGGTGTCGGCGGTGGTTCCGACGGCGGCCGCTCCTCCAGTGGCTGTTGATCCTCCAGTACGCCATGGGTCAGCAGC